TGGTGACCCCGCAGCCGCTTCACAAGGTGCCAAGGCAAAGGGCTTTCAGCTGCCTGTCTCTCTAAATGTACCCACGGTCCCCTCAGTGACCCCAGTGCTGACCTCAGGCTCCCAGCAGCCTATTCAAACAACAGAAGCGGCAGTTCTCTTTGATCCTGCAGCTCCGCTTGAGCCTTTGAAGCCATGGAGAATGCCTGCCTGCTCAGCAGGGCATCAACAAACTGCTCAAGGACACTCTCCTCAGCTTCCACGGTGCCGTCGCCTGCTCACCTCAGCACGGCACCAGAGTCCCCCTCAGCACCAGGACACACGCTGCAGTTTGGCTCTGCTCAGCATCAGTTCCACAGTACAGCTGATCTCCTGGTCCTCCCCCTCTCCGGGGTCTCCCCTTCTGGAGGGGGGATTTTACACCAGAGCCACAAGCACAATACTGCCACTTTCCTGCAACCCCCTCCCCACCTTTCCTGGGGGGAGGAAGACGACAGGGAGAACAGATCCTTTCTCCCCCTGTCAAGGCTCCTTCTCCACTCTGGCATGATAACTGCAGAAGTGGGGGCCCGCAAAAGTACCCCAAAACCTTATCTCTACAAGCTTTGGTAAAAAACATCCCCCCCAAATCTTAACCTAGTTTTTGGGGATAAAACTCTGCTGCCACCACCCAAGTAGTGATAAAAATACCAGGGAGAGACTACTTGGGAAATCTCACCCCAAAGGACAAACCAGGACACAAAAATTAACCAATACCAGGTTAATAAAAAGAAAAGAGAAAGAACTTTTATTATCACCACAATGTTCCTGTTGCAAGTATAATGACTAGATGGAAAAGTCACGAGTAATACTCATGGGGAAACTCCACCCTGGGCCTAGAACTTAGTTATAAAGGAAAGCAAAAACATTTTTTAAAAGTGCACAGACATCGGATCCCATTTCCCAAACCATAAAACAATAAAACCTAACGGATTTATCTAAACTTTACCCTACTTACGGAAGAGTGGAGTCTAGTCTTGGAGGGAGACATTCTGTCTGACTCCCTCAGTAGCTGGAGAGAGAAACCAAACATTCCTTTGTCCCAGTTTGAAATGCCTACCTACACTCCTATTGGCTGAATCTACCTGACTTAGGTAAGGTTAACCCCTAGTTCCCAGGCTGCTGGCTAACCCCCATGATCATGACACCGCCCTATTACCCACCTGGGCTCATCTACACTGGCCCCTTTTCCGAAAGGGGCATGCTAATTTCACAGGTTGTAATATTTAAATCCCCTGCGGATTTCCCTCTCCCCCGCAGCATTTAAATAAAAATGTCCGCCGCTTTTTTCCGGCTTTTAGAAAAGCCGGAAAAGAACATCTACACTGGCCCATATCCTCCGGAAAAAGCCCTTTTCCGGAGGATCTCTTATTCCCACTTCAAAGTAGGAATAAGAGATCCTCCGGAAAAGGGCTTTATTCCGGAGGATCGCGCCAGCCTAGACGCTTTTTTCCAGCTTTTCCCCAAGCCGGAAAAAAAGGGGCGGACATGTTTATTTAAATCCCGTGGGGGATATTTAAATCCCCCGCGGATTTCCCTATTCTGACTTACCTACTTTGCATGACTTTTCCGGAATTAGGGGCCAGTCTAGACGTAGCCACCATGTATATAGTGAACAGCCCCTTCATAAGTCACACAAGTTGAAATAAACCCACTTCTCTAACACTCTTTGGGAACATCTACACAGCAGGGCTAAATCCAAAGTAAGCTATGCAATTGAGCTTCCCCAATTATCACCTCTATTATCAGCTCACAGACATTTACCTTCAAATGTAAATTTGATTTGTCCTTTTCATGTGTGTTCATTTTTTTAATTGTATCCTTTGGTATATATGGTTGTGACTATTTTCTTCCACTATTTGATCTGAGGAAGTGGGTCTGGCCCACGAAAGCTCATCACCTAAGAAACCATCTTGTTAGTCTTTAAAGTGCTACATAGTCCTGTATTTTGTTTCAGCTACACCAGACTAACACGGCTACATTTCTATCAAGAACAATCATGTTACTCTTGGCCTTGTATATAGTCTTTTCACATGCTGGGAAACCATTTTTCCAGCTGACTTCACAGCTCACTTGATGCAAAGACCGTGGTTACCAAAGTGGAGTGTCGTGTCTGGTGGTGGTGTTCCATGTTCTCCATGCTTTGTTGAGTCACAGCAGCCATTCCTGATAGATCAGCTGAAATGTCCACAGCAAGGCGAAGCTCTTCCATGCTCTTGTTTGTTGATGGGCCACCAGCACTGCTCTGCTGCTTCATTATAGTCCTTGAAAGGCCAGTAGTGGGTGTGAGCGAGAAAGCACAGTTGAAATACAATCAATGTAGAGTTTCACAAACAAACCCAGCATGTGCACAGAAACAGGACCAGTGTCTGGAGCAAATCGTAACTTTTCCAGTGACACCTTCCATAATACGTGGGCTGTGTCTACACTGGCATGAATTTCCGGAAATGCTTAAAAGAGAATAGTTTTCCTTATAAGTATTTCCAGAAAAGGAGCGTCTACATTGGCAGGCTGCTTTTCCGGAAAAAGCAGACGCGCTTTTCCGGAAAAGAGCCCCGATCGTCATTTTCGCGATCGGGGCTTTTTTCTGGAAAAGACTACTGGGCTGTCTACACTGGCCCTTTTCCGGAACAGTGTTCTGGAATAAGGACTTATGCCCGAGCAGGAGTAGCGTAGCTTTTCTGGAATAGCGGCTGATTTTGTACAGTAGAGCGTTGTTGCTTTTCTGGAAATTCAAGGGTCAGTGTAGACAGCTCGCAGCTTATTCCGGAAAAGCGGCTGATTTTCCGGAATAAGTGGCCCAGTGTAGACACAGCCCCCTTGTGTACAAGGTGCATTATAACTATGTCATAATTATACCCCGTAAGATGCATATGGGACGACATGTCACACAGCTAGATAATGTTAAGGAGCCATTGGAGTCAATGGGGCAGATCATAGTTGGGGCTCAAAGGTCCATAGGTCTGTTGCAGTCAGTGAGGGCAGAGCCCAGTTGAAGTCAAAGAGCTATCACTCAGTTGCAATCGGGGACTCAAATCCCAGCTGATGTGTGCAAGGCTCCCCAGGGGAACCCAGGCCTGTGTGGGGCACAGCCCTACAACCTGCCCTTTGTGCAGAGCAGCCTGGTCTGTGCCTACAGGGGACAGCTCCCTGACACCCCTGACCTCAGCCTCAGAAGCCTCCCTCTTTGGCACCTTCAATTGCTCGGGTGAGGACATAGGTGCCACTGGCTTTATCTGCTTCTGAGTATTGCAAGGCTCCCCAGGGGAACCCAGGCCTGTGTGGGGCACAGCCCTACAACCTGCCCTTTGTGCAGAGCAGCCTGGTCTGTGCCTACAGGGGACAGCTCCCTGACACCCCTGACCTCAGCCTCAGAAGCCTCCCTCTTTGGCACCTTCAATTGCTCGGGTGAGGACATAGGTGCCACTGGCTTTATCTGCTTCTGAGTATTTGACGTGGTTCCTGGGCACTGAACTGGAGCTGGCTAAGATCCGTGTCCAGGATCCCTCCCTGCTCTGCCCTTCACTGGCTCTTCCTCTGTGTCACCAGTCTCCCAAGTAGGAGTCATCCCTTCCCATGACCCCTTTCTCTTTTCCAGATCCCCTTCCAGCTCCCCAGCTCACCGTGTCCCCCCAGCAGCCCGTCTACATTGCTGGAGAAGCCCTGACCCTGACGTGCTCAGGTACTGGGTCGCCTACTGTGTCTGGGGTCCGGTTCTTCAGGGATGGCCAGGAAATCCACTCCAAGGAACTCCCCTCCCCTCGGTACAGTTACACCGACTCCCTTCAGGTCCCAGGGCTGTCGGGATCACATTCCGGAGAGTACAGCTGTAAGTCATGGAAGACAGTGTCTGGTCGAGAGATCCCATCGGGGATGAGTGAAACCTTCATGATAGCTTTGACAGGTGAGTGTCCTGCTGTGCATAGTTGGGGTTCAGGGAAGAAGAGGGTACAGAGGGCCTCCCATGGATAAGTCTCATTCTCCCTATAACTGCTGAGATGTATTTATCCTGGTAACATCCGCCTGTCTTCTCCCAGACCCCTCCAGTGAGCCCTGCTGGGTGTGAGCCTTCTGTATCTCAGCTGACCCTGGTTTCCAGATCTCACGTGGCCCAGAAGCTCTCCATGAGCCCTGCTCACACCGGGTACCTCCAACAGGACACTGGGCTGCTGCTGGGGCCACAAATTCACGGAGATTCTGGTTTAAAAAGTTCTTCAGCTCCTCTTACCCTCATCAGTGCCAGTGCAGGGTCAATATCCCCCGTGGGGGGCAGATTTTGGAGACTGGAAACCCTCTCCCACCCTGTTGCTCCCTGTCTGGGGAAAAGCACCCTGTGAGGAAGCAGCACTTCCAAACATGAGCTGTAAAACACACGGAAGCTCCAGCAGGAGCTGGGGGCTGATTTCAAAGGCTTCCCCATGAAGGAGCGAGATCCCTGGCTGATGAGTGTCAGCACAATGGGCAAAGGAATTTGCAAAGAAAGCTAGAAGAATGGAAACGCTCCCTAGCTCTGTCGGAGTGAATCACAGAATCCTAGAATCCTAGAACACTAGAACAGGAAGGGACCTCTAGAGGCCATTGCGTCCAGCCCCCTGCTGTCATGGCAGGACCCAGTACTGTCTAGACCATCCCTGATAGATGTTTATCTAACCTGCTTTTAAATATCTCCAGTGACAGAGATTCCAGAGAATGGGGCAGAACCCAGGCTGGCATGCGTGAGGTCCCCGGAGGGCACCCCGGGCTGTGAGGCATGCCACCACCACTCACTCTTAGTGCAGGGAAGCCCAGTCTGTGTCTGCTGGGGGCAGCTCCCTGACACCCCTGTTCACTTGTGCACAACCCACCCCTCCAGTCCCTGCTGGCTGAGCTGGCCTGGACAGGAGCTGCCTGATCAGGTACCAATCCAGGTAGGCTGGTCCCACTGGATTCCTGGCAGGGAGATCTCTGCTGCTCAGGGTTTGCATGGCCCAGCGGGGACGTGGTTCCTGGCATGGAGCTGGGGCTGGCTGGGGTCTGTGTCCAGGATCCCTCCCTGCTCTGCCCTTCATGGCTCTTCCTCTGCCCCTGTGTCACCAGTTGCACAAGTAAGAACTGTCTCCTCTCCCAATCTCCTTGTCTTTTCCAGACCCCCTCCCAGCTCCCCAGCTCACTGTGTCCCCGCAGCATCCCATCTACATCATTGGAGAATCTGTCACCCTGACATGCTCTGCTGCCAGGGTGCCCACCGTGTCCGGGATCCGGTTCTTCAGGGATGGCCAGAAAATCCACTCCAAGGAACTCCCCTCATCTCAGAACAGTTACACCCACTCCCTGCCGCTGTCGGGGCTGTCTGGATTGCAGGCGGGGGCGTACAGCTGTGAATTATGGAAGATGAACTCTGGGCGGGAGATCATCTCAGAGATGAGCAAACCCATCTCAATAAGGGTGACAGGTGAGGACCCCATATTTCCTGGCAGAGCATCTCTCCTCCATGCCTGGGTGAGACTCAGCCCTGTCACTCAACTCCACTCAGGGTGTCCCACTGGGCCAGTGCCACTCCCTGGGTTTCTGGATTTTCTGTTGGGTGTTTGGGGACTTTGTGTCACTTTGTGGTTCAGAGGTTCTCTCTTAGTGCCAGGGCAGAGTCAGTTCCCTTCACACAAGGTCAGGGTTTGGGTACGGGAAACCTTCCCCAGCCCCATCCTGAGTGTCAAACTGACCTCAAAGTCCCAGCCGGACCAGCGGCCTGGTTTCAGAATCTTCTCAGCTGTGAATGTGATTCCCTGAAAATGAGAATCCTCAGCCTGTTCAAACGTGTCCCACTCCCTAGGTAGAGTTTGTGATGGGCGGTCACCCCAGGGTGCAGTCTATGCTGCAGTGCTACTGCTGAGCCATGTAGCTATCCAGCTGGCCTGACCTGTCTCACCCTGCTTTGCTGTGATTGAGCCAGTCGCTCCAGCCCCTCCCATCAACATGACAGCAGGCGGTGCCATATCCCCAGATGAGTTACCTGAGTGCTTTATCTGAGCCATTCAAGGCCAGAGGGAAGACAAAAGCCAGTTACCCAGGCTCCCTTCCCCAGCCCTGTGCCTTGCTTGTCAAAACCCAATGTTATACATTTTATGGCACTGCCCAGAGACCTATACTAGACATGCTCATTGATATGAATGAAAAGGCTTGCTGTCCTCTTGACATGGAAAAGAGATGCCAGGTCTTTGCTCACAGAGCGGAGCTTTCCCAGAGGCTTCACTCCGAACACACCAGCTAATCTAAAACACAAAGCAAACTTATTAACTGGAGACAGATTTTAAGTGATTCCAAGTTGACATCAAACAGATCAAAGGAGCTTCTGTAGCAAATAAATGAAAACACAAACTAAATCTCATCCTGGAGAGATAGGACTTGAATGAGCGGTTTCTCACCCTGCCTGCTGATACAGGGATGCTCGTGTGGGAGTGTGGGTCTTTGCCCACGAAAGCTTATGCTCCAACACTTCTGTTAGGCTATGTCTACACTGGCAGCTTCTTGAACAGCTATTCTTCTTGAACAGCTATTCTTCCGCAAAAACTTGCAGGCTGTCTACACTGCACGAGTGTTCTTCCAGAAGTAAATTTACAGTATAGCATTGTAAAACAGGGCTTCTTCCAGAAGAGTTATTCCTCTCCCCACGAGGAATAAGCCCTCTTGCGCAAGAGCTCGTCCAGAAGAGGCCAGTGTAGACAGGCAACATGAATTACTTGTGCAAAAAACCCCTGTGGTTAAAAGGGCAAGAGAGTGCAAAAGAGTGATGGAGAATTATAATCCGAGGGTTTGGGCGAGGGCCCAAAATCCCTACCAAATCAATTCCAGACACCCTTCTTAAGCAACCAGCTTTATTCAGGAATGTATTCCAGGGCAAAAATCTCCAGGATACTCAGGAAAAGTTTCTGCCACTTCCCAAACAAAAGGCAAGGTCTTTTGTACTACCTTACATGGTAATTACCCTTTTTCCACTGACCACTTACAGCTGCATGCATACACAGGTCATGCCCCTTTGCACCAAATTCCCTCCAATCATTATCTGTCCCCTCCCAGTCCCTTTGCAGGCCTTACAACAGGTTGAAACCAGTTTCACCTGTCCCCTTCTTTTGTATACCTGTTTTCAAGCACGTACTTCTTTACAAAGACCAGACTTAACATCCAGGTCATGCAGAGGTCATACTGACAACAAATTAAGTTTATCCTTCAAGAGCGTCTACAGTTCCATGGATGCTGTTGCACAAAAGCACATGGTAGTGTAGATGCTCTCTTGTGGAAGAGTTTTTGCACAAGAACTCTTCCACAAAAGATTTCTTGTGGAAGAAGCTGCCAGTGTAGACGTAGTCTTAGTCTATAAGGTGCCACAGGACTCCTTGTCGCTTTTGAAGATTCAGACTAACACAGCTACCCCTCTGATATATAAATCATGATGTCAGTCCTCACCTTATGGCTATGTCTACACTGGTAGCTTCTTGCACAAGAACACGTCCACAAGGGTTCTTGTGCAAGAAGCCTTGTGCAAGAACATGTCCACACTGCCATGTGCAAGCTGTGCTTTTGCACAAGAGCACCCATGGCAGTGTGGTTGCTCTCTTGTGCAAGAAAGCTCTGATGGCCATTTTAGCCATACGGCTTTCTTGCACAAGAAATCCCTGTCGAGCATCCACACTGCCCTCTTGCGCAAGAGCTCCTGCACAAAAGAGCTTACACCTGTTAAGAAAGAGCGTAGCTCTTGCGCAAGAAGCCCTCTCTTACCATGCCGTACTGTAAATCTGCTAGCGCAAGAGCTGGAAGGCAATGTAGACAATCTGCAGATCTTCCCTTCTTGCACAAGAACCCGCCAGTGTAGACACTGCCATAATATGTTTCTTCACATGGTAGGAACCTTTGTTTCCAGCTATGTTCCCAGACCCCTTTGTGGAAATATACCGGTCCCCAAGGTAGAGTTCATGTGGGCTGATCACATTCCCTGAGGTGCCTTGCTGAGTCAGAGCAGCCATTACTGCTGGGCTCATTGAAATGTTCACAAGAAGGCTTATCTCTTCCATGATCACTTTTCCTTGTTGAGGAGACAGCAGAGCTGCCTAGCTACTTCATGGCTGTACTGGTGGCCTGTGACCAAAAGAAAGCACATGGCTGTGTAGACACCCCTTCTTTAGTCCGGAAAATCAGCCGCTTTTCTGGAAAAACTTGCCAGCTGTCTACACTGGCCGCTTGAATTTCCGGAAAAGCACTGATGATCTAATGTAAAATCATCAGTGCTTTTCTGGAAAAACTATGCTGCTCCCGTTCAGGCAAAAATCTTTTTCCAGAAAACTGTTCCGGAAAAGGGCCAGTGTAGACAGCACAGTAGTGTTTTCCGCAAAAAAGCCCCAATCGCGAAAATGATGATCGGGGCTTTTTTGTGGAAGAGCGCATCTAGATTGGCCACGGACGCTGTTCCGGAAAAAGTGCTTTTCCGGAAAAGCATCCTGCCAATCCAGACGCGCTTTTCTGGAAATGCTTTTAACGGAAAACTTTTCTGTTAAAAGCATTTCCGGAAAATCATGCTAGTGTAGACATAGCCCATGTGAAATAGAGACAAGCAGTCAGTACACAGAGCTTCCGGTACAAAACTGATACAGATGCGGAAATAATATAATCACCTGGAGCAAATCATAACTTTTCCAATGACGCCTTGCACCAGTCATGTCAAACATGTGGCCTGCACGTCTGACATGATACTTTCTGTACCAGACCAATTATAATTATTTCATGATTACACCACTCGGAGGAATACGAGGTGAAGTATCATATGGTGAGAAAATGCAAATGAGCCAAAGTTCCACTGGAATCAATAAGACAGGTACTGGCTTTTGTATTTAATGGGGCTGCCAGCTTCGAGGGCTAAGAGGCCCACTGTGAACACTTGCTCTTTTACTCCAGAAAGCCTGTTCTGTGTCTGTTAGGAGCAGTTCCCTGACACCCCCAACCACAGCTGCACAAGCCCGTCCCCCTTCACAGCCTGGAGCTGCCCACTCAGGTACCAAGCAGGGGAGGCTGGTCCCACTGGGGTTCCCGACAGTGAGATCTCTGCTGCTCAGTGTGTGCCTGGCCTAATGGGAACATGGTTTCTGGACACTGTGTTAGGGCAGGCTGGGATCTGTGTTCAAGATCCCTCCCCCCACCCTTCCCTGGCTCCTCCTCTTTCTCCGTGTCACCAGCCTCCCAGGAAGAATCCTAGAATCCTAGAACACTAGAACTGAAAGGGACCTTGAGAGGTCATCATGTCCAGTCCCCTGTCCTCACAACAGGACCCAGCACTATCTAGACCATCCCTGATAGAGGTCTATCTAACCTGCTCTTAAATATCTCTCATGATGGAGATTCCACAACCTTCCTCGGCAACTTAGCCCAGTGTTTCACCACCCTAACAGGTAGGAAGTTTTTCCTAATGTCCAACCTAAACCCCCCTTGCTTCAATTTAAGCCCATTGCTTCTTGTTCTATCCTCAGAGGCCAAGGACAACATAGTTTGTCCCTCCTCCTTTTTACACCCTTTTAGATACCTGAAAATTGCTACCATGTCCCCTCTCAATCTTCTCTTTTCTAAACTAAACAAGCCCAGTTCTTTCATGTTCTCTAGACCTTTAATCATTCTTGTTACTCTTCTCTGAACCTTATCCCCCCCATCCTCTTGTCTTTTTCAGCCCCCCTCCCAGCTCCCCAGCTCACTGTGTCCCCACAGCATCCTGTGTACATCACTGGGGAAACTGTGACCCTGACGTGTTCAGCTGCTGGGGTGCCCACTGTGTCCGGGATCCGGTTCTTCAGGAATGGCCAGAAAATCCAACTCCTGGAATTCCCCTCACCTCAGGACAGCTACACGGACTCGCTTCTGTTCCCAGGGGTGTCTGGCTTGCAGGATGGAGTGTACAGTTGTGAATCCTGGGACACGGAAAATGGGAGAGAGATCCCATCAGAGAGGAGCCGACCCATCTCGATAGGAGTGACAGGTGAGACTCCCTGTCTCCTAACTGGGTTTCTCGCCTACATGCACAGGGTGAGACTCAGCCCTGGATGACTGGGCAACAAGATGGCAGATAAAATTCAATGTGGATACATGTAAAGTAATGAACATTGGAAAACATATTCCCAGCTATACATATAAATGGATAGAGTGCAAATTAGCTGTTATTCTGGGAAGAGAGATCATGCAGTCACTATAGACAGCTCTCTTGAAAGATCCACATAGGAGGCAGTGGCAGTCAAAAAAAGCTAACAGAATTTTTGGAATCACTCCAGGAAACATAGATAACACATATCATAATACCTCTATATAAATCCATGGCATGCCTGCTATGACAGACCCCCCCCCCATGCTTTGGAACAGGGGTGGCCAACCCATTAAACGAAAAGAGCAAAACAATGGCAGAAAAAATGTGAAGAGACACTCCAAAATTGTTCAGCAAAAAAAAACCCCAAAAAACAAAAAAAAGGACACTGCCCCTTTAACAACCATGAGCAGGCTTTTTTTAGCCACATCAGACTCCTGTTGGCCACCAACCTCCTGGTGGCACCATTTTTCTGCACCGGACAGCTCACCTGCACCTGGTGAGCACAGGAGACTGGGGCCGGGGGCCGACTGTAGGTGCGTGTAGGTGGCTTCATGAGCCACGGGAGAGGTTTCGCGAGCCACACTTTTAGAGGTGAGGAGCCGCATGTGGCTCACGAGCCGCAGGTCGGCCTCCATTGCTTTAGAATGTGGACTTGTGGGCACAGATATGCCTAACTCAGAGGTGCTTTGAGCAAATTATCTCATGTAACCTATCCGTCTTCATGACATAATCTGTGGGATCGGTGTATATTATTTTAGTGTCGGGATCATTCCTGTGTGTACAGTTAGATAGACGGAATAGGGAATGTTTTATGGTTTAAAAAATGCAAAGACAAGCCATCAAGGGTGTTTTCCTCAAGGTCTGATCAACTGTAAACAATCTGTTGTCCTTTAAGTCTTATCAGTGGTTAGTCCTAGGAAGTAATGTAACCTACCTAACTGGTAGGGATTGGTCAGGTAGCTTCCCGTGCAAAAGGGGGCTTACCTCTATAATCCATTTGGGGAGTGGTTTCCCAGGAAACTGGGCCCTAAATTTAATTTCCCTTGGATTTGAAGAGATTTAGTGTCTGCTGCTTCTTGGGAGGGGGGAGGGGTCTTCTGCGACCACTCCCTGCCATGCCCACCTCTTGAATACTGCATGCAGATCTGATTGCTCCATCTCCATAAAGATATATTAGAATTGGAGAAGGTTAAGAGAAGGGCAACAAATATGATCAGAGGTAAGGAACAACTTCTGTATGGAGAGAGATTAAAAGTATGGGACTTTTCAGCTTGGAACAGAGACGGCTAAGGGTGGATATGACAGAAGTGTGTACAGGCATGGCTGGTACGGAGAAAGTCAAGAGGGAAATGTTAATTCTGCTCCTAACACAAGGACTAGGAATCACCAAATGAAATGAAAAGGCTGCAGATTGAAGAGAAACAAAAGGGAGTTTTCCTTCCTACAACACACAGTTTCCTTCTGTAACTCTTTCAAACAGGATGTGGTGAAGGCCAACACCAAAACAGGGCTTCCAAAAAACAAACAAAAAAACAAAACGAAAAAGAGAGAACTAGGTCAATACCTATCACGGAGGATGGGTCCATCCGTTGGCAATTAGCCAGGCTGGGCAGGGATAGTACCTCAGTTCCCCAGCCTCATCCCTTCCTTTTTGTACCAAGCTCTCTGTGATACTTTAAATCAGGGGTGGGGGATCTGAGGCCCTGGGGTACCCTCCAGCACTGGGGAGCCCATGCTGGTGCTCCAGCCGCTCTGCTGTCCCACTGTGGAGCTGGAGCATCTTTCTTCCCCTCTGCTGGGGTCCATGTCAGCGAGGCTTCTTTTCTTCCCACTTGTGTGCAGCCCCACGACTGATTTTTCTGTGGGTCAGTGGCCCCCAACCCCAAAGAGGTTCCCCACCCTGCATTAGATCCTCCAAACACTATGGCTGTGTCTAGACTGGCAAATTTTTCTGCAAAATCATGTGATTTTGTGGAAAACCTGGCCAGCTGTCTACACTGGCCACTTGAATTTCTGGAAAAGCACTGACGAGCTCATGTAAGATCGTCAGTGCTTTTCCGGAAATACTATGCTGCTCCCATTTGGGCAAAAGTCTTTTTCCGAAAAACTTTTGCCCAAAAGGGCCAGTGTAAACAGCATAGTAGTGTTTTCCACAAAAAAACCCCAATAGCGAAAATGGCAATTGGGGCTTTTTTGTGAAAAACCGCGTCTAGATTGGCCACGAACGCTTTTCCTCAAAAAGTGCTTTTGCAGAAAAGCATCCTGCCAATCTAGATGTGCTTTTCCAAAAATGCTTTTAACAGAAAACTTTTCCGTTAAAAGCATTTTCGGAAATTCATGCCAGTCTAGACGTAGCCTATCTGAACAACAACCCAACGCCCTATGGGACCATGGGGCTGGTTTCAGAGTCTTCACATTGAATGTGCAGGAACCTCAGTGCGAGAGAATCAAGGAAAGCTTCTGAGGAATCTCTGGGTACAGCTAGAGCGATGTAAAGCAGACGTACCTCAATGATAGTCAATGGAGGAGATCCAGCCTGC